TCTTAAACTGCCAAAAGATGAAACATAATGTTTTACAATCATGTTCAAGGTACATGATTTTGATTGGAAAGTGGCACAAGCTCCTGATAGAAAGCCTGTCCTCTAATTCCTGAGGAGTTTATTTTGTCTTGCTACCCCTGATGAAGCAGCAGTACTTGAAATGAGTTTTGCTTTTGGCTGAAGAACATTCCACAATGGAAGAGAGTGAATGTCCTTACCTTAAAGCATCTCCTGGCTTTGTGCATTTTGTCTGACCTCTAAGAAGCAAAGCAATTTAATAAAAAATTCTTTCTGACCCTCAAATGGAAGATCGAATGCAGGCTCAGGAGATTTGTATCTGAGCATGAGACTTGCTTTTGATGGGTTTTAATGTTATGTATTGTTGATGTTCCTAAATTATATAGCTCAATGAAGCGTTCCAAACCAAATGTTCAGCCCCCATGGGGTATGGTAGAAGCCCTAAGGATAAGCTTTGATGTGGATATAAAGCCATGGTAGCTGTCAGGTCCTGAGTCATCTTCCAGTGGCACCCACATGACCAGAAAGGGAATAGATACGCTTCCACACAGTTTTGAGCCAGAACTTCTGCTGCTCTGAATTAATTATGCTGCCTTTGCAATCAGTGCAGCAGCATTGATTTGTATCAGCTCAAGGACTGGCCATTCAGATTTCAAGACTGAGAAGTCACATGGATAAGATATTACACACTACAGGTTTAAAAAGGAGATTTGCCTTTTACATTTTAATAATATGCTAAATAAATTATGAACTAAAAAGTCAGAATTCTTCTTTTTTTTTAATGTGGGGTTTGAAGCATCAACAGGAATTTGCATCTCTTGAGTTCTTTCCCATTATTCACTAGTCCCTACACTAGCTGAGACCACAAGAACAAGTGCCATTAGCATCTCACCTCAAGCGAGAAAATTCTGCAATCCTAATTTGGCTGGTTTGGCAAACCTGAGCAGGTATGCTCAAAGGTTGGCAATATGGGACAGAACATATTGCCAACCCTCAGAACTGGGGTTGGCAATATGGGACATCCACATAAGGGTTGCAAAGGAGCTCAACTGGATCACTCCAGGAAGCAGATCCAGTCGAGCATACATCTGTGACCCACCCTGAATTTTTTTTATTTTTCTCAGAAGTAACACATTGTTTCCTAGCTACATGCCATTTATATATATATATATAACCATGGTGGGACCACGTATAAAACAACATTACTCACCAAAAGCTATAGACATGAGATCAAATCGTGAAGGCCATGCATATGAGTCACTTGTTTAAACACAAACATTCTTGTCTTTCAAGACAAGGCTATCTTGTCTTTCAATTCTTCCCAAGCCCTCTTTATGTATGAACTGAATTTCAAAATGAAAATTGATTGCAGGTGTCTTAAGTATATTTTTCCAGGCCTTCAATTTAAACAAGTTACAGCAATGCTCACGTTCATAAAGTTTTTGATCATTGTAATATAAATTCTCACTGACAGCAGTAGAGATCATGGGGACCTTTCCTCGTTTCCAGAACCAGCTTTTACTAATTTGGATCCCATTGCAGACTGTCAGAAAGGCTGCTTTATAGGAAGAATCGTTCATTCGATGATCCCTAGTACAGCTGCCTACCACATGTACAGCAGCAGTGTTAGCACTTTTTCATTTTTCCCAATGTTCAGCCTCAGTGCTGGAACCCATTACATAGCTGGCATTTCACAAGTGCCAGGTTACTTTACCTCTTTCTTCAAAAAATGATCTGTAATAGCAAGGTGGCTATTAATAACTAACAGCTCACTAATAGCAGGAAGGCACAGAGAGCTGACAGCCTGCACAACGCCAGCCCAGAGAGATGACCACTCAGTTTCTTACTCTGCACAGACTCTGATCTCTGGCTAATGTCATCCTTGTGCCCTAAGTCCACATCTGTAAAATGAGATATTATTTTTTGGCTTCGTTGCCAAATAAGTATAATCAAATGACTGGGTAATCAGCTATTGCAATAAGCACAAGTTTGTAATTACATGGGATAAAGGATGCAAAATTCCTCTGGATCATAATTACTGAGTCATCTCCTTGCTCTTGGGGGTAATGGAGGTCAGGTGTGCTGTATGGCATGGAAAACTCTGAATAATAGAGTCATCACTGCAGAGACAGCTGCCAGCTGATTAGACCTGCTTAGAGCAGATGTTGGATGAGATGAACTCCAAAGGTCCCTTCCATCCCAAATTACCCCTGTGATTGTGTTCTAACACTGCACCTCTGCAAATACATCCTCTTGGAGCACTGGACGCCAGGGTACACACGCCCAAAGCAGTGCTGCAGGACACAAACTGCCTCCATCAGGAACAGACCAAGTCATGATGGACTGAACTGATTCAGGGCAGCTTGGTGCCTCCACCAAAAGTGCTGTGGTACCTGTGGCTCCAGGCTGATCCTAGAAAAAGTATCAATGCCTTTAGCTAGGACTGTGCCTCCATGGAGCCAATCAATGGCACAGTTTATGTCCAGATGAACCATCTAAAGGTAATGAAAGTTTACCATGTTGGGAAATATGCTCTCTAGCTCACGTTTACCTACCATGTCATCTTACATCACCACTGCTTCAGTGTTTTAGTCCTCCTTGCCCAGCCTTTACATGAAAAAGCGAAACTAAGCCTTGTGGTTCCTGTTGACTCTGTGTATGTGGCATCTCTCATGAAGCAATAAAGTCAAAAATGTTGGAAATAACAGCTACTGGGATATTCATATATATGGATCTACACTTCCTCTGTGGTTAAAACAAAAAAAAAAAAAAAGAAGAGAAAATATTTTAACATTTTTGGTGGGGTTGATCATGACATAGACTTCATCCTACCTGTCTTGTCCTTTTCCATCTGTGTTATAGCTCGTGGGGTCCTGGCCAGGGTTCCGTGTTCACATTTGCAATTGCAGTTGTAACTGTGACCCTTAGTTTGGTAACTGTTTTCTTAACTGCTGTATAAACATCTGTGAATGCATATACAATATTCAGTAAAGCAGATGACATTTGCAGTGACCAGCTGCCTCCAGTCATGAGACAAGACTGCACATGGTCGCAGTAAAACAGAGCACCCAGAGGCTTGCAGGGCTTACACAGTAGAGCTGTGGCTGAAATGGGCTGGGGAGAAATTACATTGTCCGTGCTCACAGGGTTTGTTTCTTCCTCAGTCAAAAGCCAGATCCCTGGGGCAGAAACCAAGTCATGCCTCAGAATAATTAGGCACACAAATTACTGCTGTGCTTGGTCCTCAGAAGTTAGGTATATCTTCTACCTCTAAACACGAAGCAGAAGGTCATAGCTCCCAACCAGTTTTTGAAGTTTAGCCTCTGGTAATTACAGACAGAAAGCTGGGTGAGCTCTGATAGTCCCTGCTCACGGGACTGCTGCCTGCAACCTGGGCGTGTGCGAGCAGTCCGTGTGCCAAGCCTTGTTGCTACAAACCGGGTCACAAGGTCTCCACATCATAAAATGAGGGTAAAAATAAAAAGTCCCAGCTATTTTATAAAAATAGAAAAGATGAAGTGGGACAGAGGGAGAAAAAGCATCCTTGCTGGTGGTTTAGCAGAGAGGGGAGAGGTCCAGCATGACAGGTGACAGCAGGCTCAGCTCTGCATGGTTGAGCAGGGCAGCTCTGCACCCACATGTGGATATGAGTCCTAGGTATGAGACTTGAGCATACTGCAGAGAAAAGGTGTTGTGGTATCTCAAGAACAACACTTAGTTTGCTCTCACACCATTTTTAAAGCAATAGCTTTCAAACATGTATTTAATAATAAAACAAAAACAAAACCCAATGCAAATAATTTGAAATTCAAGATATATATGTGTGGTTTGATACTGCCTCATATTTTGAAAATGTTAGTGGAGAAAGGGAAAGTGAAAATAGCAGGAGGAGCTACAAAGAGTCAAAATTAATTTATTTTAGACTTAGGGTTTCAGTATTTGACAAAAGAAATGGATATAAATGGAAACTAAATTGAAACTGAGGTTTCTGTCATTCAACAAAATATATCACTGCTACTAGTCAACTACAACTGGGAGAGACAATTTAATTACTAATAAACAACTTTGAAGTTGTACATGTGTTTTAGTGTCTTAATAAATTTACAAAAAAAAAAAAGAAACAACAATAAAAGCTCAACCCAAGTCTGAGGTTCAAGAAAAAAAATGCGTAGGGGATTTTTTCAAGTCCATTGTCACACAAGGGAAGAAACACACTTGACAAAAGAGATCATTTGATCATTTGTCATTAAAAACTATTATTTCCTTAAGATAGAAATGCTTATTAAAATGTTTGAGGGCTTTTTTGTTTGTTTGTTTTATCTTTATGTTTCATAAAGTCAGGAAAACTGTATTTACAATATTTTAAAGTTTGATGATACACTCCAAGCTTGTTTCTCTTTTTCCCTCTTTTGCAACTGAATACAATGGAATGAATAAGGACTTTGATTTTCTTTCTTATCTTTGCTACTCCTTTAATATGTTTTCTTTCATGCCCTAAATAAAATCTCTGTCCTCATCGTCTGAGAATTGTATTACTATGTTTAAACTATTTTCTTTAATCTTGAAAATCTCCTTTTACAATGGAGCAAGAATTTCTTTTTTTTCTGAAACCTTACATTTACCTATTTTAAGCTACATCATTATTTTGCTTTTCTTATTCATCTCCATATTTGTTCTACTGAGGACTTGTTCCAAAAGCTGTGCTTGTTTTTTATGAAGTTTAATAAGTTTAAGTACACAAAAGGAAAGAGGAGAGAAAAAAAAAAGTTAACAGATCTTTTGAAGGAGAAAAAAAAATCCAAAACCCACTCATGTTACTTGCAGGCAATTCATTGCATTTGTGATGTCTGCAATGCTAAAATTCAATCTGGGTTACATTTCCTGGCTGAGATACAGAGATGATTCTCAGAAAAATCAAGATTTGAAATAGAAAGTCGGCAGTAACCTCATATGGAAGACAAGGAACGCCAGCAGAGGGGACAGAGCTTGAGAGCACTGCCACTTGGGAGCCATGAACTGAAATAGAGAAGCCTGTCATCTTTGTTTTATTTTTAAAATATGGGAACAAATTAAAAGCTGAAAACATGCACTGTGTTTTTGTTTTACCGTTTCTGTGCTGGAAGCATTGCTCACGTACCCTCCTGGTACAGAGCACACTTGCCACGGCTTCTGCGCTGCGATCGCTCGCTCTTATGTTACTGCTCAAGTATGCATTCAGAAAAGAGCCAGCAGATACAGTAGATTTATTCTAGTTGTTGAGGTCAAGGGCTTCTTTTTTTTTTGGACTCAGTAGAGGGGGAACGCTTTCCTCATAACACCAGACAGGCTCTCTGCTTTGCAGTCTGCTGTCAGTGTGCACCACGGATAAAAAAACATCTGAGAGCATTTTTAAAGGATTTATCAATCTAAAGCACCGGTGAGTTATGTGCTGTCTCCTGTGTCAAAGTTAGGAGGCTTTCAGCGAGGCACAATATCTGTACGCAGTGCAAGTCAGAGGCTACGGCTGCTGGAAGCTCTTGCAAGCCATGTAAGTAAAGGGCTTTATTTAGCTGAAGCAAACTTTGTATATTCTCTTGCCTTGTAAAAACTCTGAGATAATCTAAACTTGAGATGAATTTCCTAATACTAGTAATGTCATTATCTTGCCATCCCTTTGAATAATGCATGTATGTCAGCACAACAAATAAATATCTTACCTTGTTTTGCTTGTGAGTAGTGTAGAGAGCAGAATCTGTACACGCCTCAGGCAGGCTCTGTTTGCTGTTCTGATCGCTGATCATTTCAGTTCTCTGTTTGTGATCGACAGAGAGAACTCTCTGATTTCTTTGATTTCTTTGATTTCAAGGACAATGGGAATGTGGCAGGGAAACACAAAGACTACGCAAAGGAAAACAAAAAGCAGAAAGGCAGTTTATAAAGTGGCATCAGTGAACTCAAAAGCTGTGTGTAACTCCCATGTGGAACTTGTGGTCTGTGGAATACTGTATGATTTGTAGTGAGGTTTAAGGGGTCATAGATAATCTGACTAAGAGGAAATTAAATGACAGAAGAAATGTTTTGATTTCTTTATAAAATCCCTCTTTATGTTCATGCTCGTATTTAAAATAATCACTTTCTGTATGGTTATTTGGAACTTATTGCAGGGAACAGATCACCTTCCTCTGAGCTTCACAATGTAATTTAAGGTCAAGAAATATTTCTTTGTTCTCTGTCTAGTTCATGTACTTATTGGTATCAATAGGCCTGGCAAATAGGTCTTGAAATGCCAAAATTCTCTTCTTGTATGTGAGATCCTCCCTGCTGTTTTGATGGCTACCAATATGCAGATATGGTGATAAATAAATGGAAGATTGATTAGCTCCATTGACAAGGTACAGATGGTATTACACTGAGAAAAAAATTTCATGCACTCAGACTTCTCAGTATCTTCCTGTTCAGTTTCTTGTCCCCTTGCAGTCCCTGTAGCCTTTGCAAAACCACCTGATCCCTATGACTTTGTACCTTCTATTTGCCTCACACTTTTTCCCAGTTCACAATAACTTTTAGCAGGCCCTTCCTTCCAGACCCACATGTCTGAAGGATGCAAGTCCTGCCCTCCAACCTTCACAACAAAAATCTCCCACAGACCCACAGGGCAATGCTGGCTTTATTTTTTGCAGATACACTGCCACAATTTCCTCTTGCATCAGATGCTCAGAGGAACACGGATGCTGCCCTAAATAGCTTTCTACCTCTCCCAGCCCTCTTCTTGACTTATTTATTTCCATGGCAATGCAAGATCCACGTGGGGAGAGGGGCACTGTCCATTAACAGAGATGCCCACTATTCACTGAGGGCAATGGAAAAGCCTTCCTTGGCTTCAGCCAGACAGTCAGACCTGGGTGCCAAAACAGCGAGGAAATGAATAGATATGCCAAGCTGCAGAGCTGCAGTGTGCTGCTTCCAGTGGCACTGGAGTGTCACCTCCCTGAGTGAGAATGGGGAAAGGGTCTGTACAAAGAAGTTTGCGGAGTGATAAAGAATCACATCTTGAAGGTGCTCTGGCAGGAGCAAGTCAGAGATGAATGGGGCTGGTGTGAAATTCAGGCTCCTCCGATGGTGGAGGAAGAACATATTGTTTTTCAAGAGTGTTTGGAGAATGACAAAGACTTCAATTTTCAATACAGGGATGGGTAAAAGCTTTTTCCTTTGCAACACAACTCTCTCATACCTAGCTGGATCAGTGGAACTCTGGGGAGAAAACAGCAGTTTGTTATAGTTTTTGAATTTATGTATATTCATGTGTTCCATTAGTCTCTTGGCAAATGCATCTTTTGAGTTCTAAAGCTTTCTGAACCTTTCATATAGTCCTTTGCTTTGAAGCAACAGATGTCTGTGATAAGCAGATGGTTATGGCTTTGAATTTTAACATACTTTGTTGCATACATTTTATGGAGAGGAATGTACTCTGTCTTACTATGCAGTACTCATGCACTAAATGAAAAGTATCCATGGCTGGATGCATGATGTCACTTCCTAGCTTGAAAACCAATAAACCACATGTTTTTCAGGATTATTTGTTATGAAATATTTTCATCCAATTATTCAACTTGTGTTTTCTAGTTACAAACCAACTGCAAAATTCACTAGTCTGATGTGAGCTCAAAGAGAACAATCAACAAAAAGAGTAAAAGGAGCTGCCTCGCTCATGAATTGCTTTCTCACTCTGATGTATACTGTGAGCAGGCTGAAATCTTCCCCTTGCACAATTTCCCAGAGGAAATAATGCAGTGCCTATAGAAACAACTGAGCAAAATCTTTTGATCTTTTTTATTTTAAACTTTCATTTTCAGGAGGTACAGCTATGAAATCTGATGAGTGGAGAATCTAAGAACAAAAGATCTTATATCGGGAATAAATTTGAGAACACAAATGGAAAGAATAGATCTCAAATAATTTTCTTTCAAGGAAAAGAAGTCATATAAACAGATTTCATCCAAATGTTTTGCTACTGGATATTAGTTTACTGCTCTAAAAATTGTAGTTCTTTTCTCCCTCTCTGCCTGACTTCCACACTTAAAGAGTTTGTTTTTCAAAGAAATCACTTGAGGCAGTCTGTGACATGTGTGAACTGCTTAAACTTGACTTAGTTGATCTTAAGTACAGATTATTGCACATATTATCAAAGGCTTTGTTAATTATAATGACATAGATGTTACTGCATGGACCCAGTCTTTACACAAGGCACCAGCCTGACTTGAAAGAAAAGAAGTGCCTCATTTCAACTAAGCTTTGAGAAGGAATGGGGCTTTTGAAGGGTTCATAGCGCTGGAGTAGTGTTAGAAGAGCTCAGTGGTGATGCAGGGTATGCGCTTTCCTTCTCTTTTTCCATCTTTCTCCAATACTTCTTGAAATCTCTTCCTTTCTCATGTATTCAGGATATGGTGACCCCTAATGCCAGACTGTCCCAGACTACAGGGGTTCCTCTTTTTGCACCTCCAATCAGCCTCTCTGCTCCATAAAGCACCATGGCTGGTGTTCATCCTTCCTGGAGAAGAGAAAGCCTGGGATGCAGAAGGGGGGGACAGCATGCCCCAGCACAGCTCATGAACCAAACTGTCCACCTGTTTGGATTTCAGTGGCTAATCCCCATCTCTGCAGGTACAAGCAAGTAGCCCACCTGTAAGCAGAGCATGAAGGCTGATGACCCTTGTAATCTGATGCCCAAGGCTAAGGGATGCTTTAATTACTGCCTTGCATTTAATTACTGCCTAATGCTATGCATTTCCTGGTGGTTTCCTCACCCAGACATGTTCTGGGACCCAAAACAAAAGTGGTTTGACAGAAGATAGCATTTCCTCCAGTTCCGCTTTGAAAGACTTAAGATCCAATACTGAAGAGTTAAAAGAAAAAAAAATTGTTGAAGTTGAAGAGTTCTATTTTAGTGTATTATTTGACAATATCAGGTTTTCAGGTTTAGAAATCTACATATAAATGAGAAGAAGTTGTGAAAACTTCTGATTGATGGGCCATTTTTCTTTCTGACAATTCTAATTATTTAAAGATTGCAAATGTTCAGACACTTCAAAGACCACAGGTGGTACTCTGCTACTCGATAGCAGTGTTAACTCAGAGAGTGTGTCTCCTTAACAAATCCTTGCAATATGAAGAGATTACCCTCTGATGTGTGACTGACTTCTATCTGTGTCTATCTCAAGATCTTTTTCTCTCTGTGAAGCCCTACTATCCATTACTGGTCTTGTGCAATACTTTGGCACATGTGTATTTATGTCCCTGGATACCACCTCTCGGCCTTACAGATGCGAGGACTGAGGCAAGATTCAGTGACTGTAGAATTGAGATCATACTAGAAGTGAATGAAGATAAAGAAAACTGAAGGTAGCTTTCCTGAATTCTGGAAGTATGTATCCATTCATTGCCACCCATAAATAAACAGGTTCTTTGTAAAGAGGGAAAGAAAAGAGTTTTTAATCCTTTCCACAGCTCTGTGTGCCTATAATCTTACCATAGGGTCAGAGGTAGAAATAAACCCTCCAAACCTGCCAGAAAGCTCTCAACAGAAGTGTTGACAAGACAATCAGCAAAACTGACCCATAAGTAGCAAAATATCCACATTGGGCCTGTATGGAGAGCTGAGACCAGTTACCAGGGCTGTAATGGAATAATTCTTGGCAGCAAGGAAGCAGTGAACTGGAATGCCAGTTTGCAGATGTGAGGCAAGTCTGGAATCTGCTCTAAGTGAGCTGCTACAATGGAGGGTTGTGATGGGAACATGGACTTTTTGTTGTGATCTGCTGGAACAGATATCGTCATCCTTAGTTATCAACTGATATTAGTTAATGCAACTTTGAGTGACTGCCAACTTCTGCAGTCCAGTGAAGTAACTAACACACTCACTTGATATCTTAAATGTTACTGGGCACAGGGAGGGGAGGGAAATCTGCTATTCCAGAGGGAATTATTTCTGTTATATTTTTAAGATATCCTCTGTGGCTTTTGAGATGTTTCCTGAAATCTGCAATTACATTAATGTAAGATCTGCATCCAGTTTTTTCTAAAATACTATTGAAGTAGACTACATGGTAAGTAAAACAATTCTTTCTTTGAATGTCATCCCCCTTTCAGTTTATCAGCTGCTGCTCTAGCAAGTAGTTTCTGCCTTGAGGGGCTGTTGATAGATAGTTCACTGAGATAGCTCAGTATCTCAGCTACCTTGTCCCTGTGAAGTCCTTGAAAACACTGAGAAAAATTTCTGTATTCACCACAAATTGACTTTGTCAGTTATCAGGAGTTCAGATCCTTGACAGCACTGAAAGCCTTTGATGGGACGTGTGGGGAAAGATGACAGTGCTGTAAGTCAAAAGAAAGCATTAGGACCATTTGAGGGGTTTTTGTGACAGTGGGGAACCAGATTCAGCATCCCAAGGTTGCAACAGCAAGGGCAGTGCCAGCATGCCCTGATTACTGCCTCGGTGCATGGACAATGTCCCCCCTACCTGCACAGTCATTAGCATTTCCCCTGAAGCT